TGAAGTATGCACGCCGGAGCTTCAGAACAGCACTATAGTTCCTCCATAGAAAGAAGCACACGGTGCCCTGGATCATGTATGCGAAAGCAACGTATGCCCAAAATTTCCTTCCGAAGATATATTGTGGTGTAAATTTCATCAATGTCGAAATCGAACTCCACTGCTTGTAGAAAGGCGATCCTCCAACGATGTTGACGGGGATCAGGATCAGACAGCCCACAACGGTCAATATGAAGAATATATTTCGAATCATGCGCATAAACCTAAGGAAGATGACAGCGTCGAGCCCGATTTTATCCACTAGATCTTGTTCTCGGACGTTCCGGACGGCAGACAACCAACTTAATGGCTTGTTGCTCAGCGGCAACGGCCGGTGTTTCTCATCTGCATGTTTGGCCCGCGGGGCATATACTCTCGAGTTGTGCGGTCGGAGGAAGCAGAACGTGAGGACTAGCAGGCCTGATACTGCAAAGGAATATACGATGGCGGCGTAGATGGAGGTCTCTTGAACCTGTAGTGGGGTGAGTATGGGGCTTGCGACATCGCGTATGTGCTGGCTAGATACTTACCTGAGACTGAAAAGGATCTGAGACCAGATCTAAGAACCTATCAAGACTGCTTTCTGCGTTTTGGCGTCTTTCCGCGACCATAGTTGGACCCTCCTCCTAAGCGAGTGTACGAAGTTGGGTACCCTGGAAGCAAGCTGCGGTGGGGGATATATGTGCGGCATGTATGTATAGTAGTATTTACAACGGTCGAGGCGGCGAAGAAAAGATAGGAGCCTTGCTGGCAAAAGGGCACTCTCCACTAAAGAGCCTCACATACGAGGAACGCGTCACTCGTGACAATCGTGCCGTGCTTGTTGGGTTAGATGCATCGTGCTAGAACTATCTTTCGGCCCATCGCACGTCATTGCCGCGGCCTAGTGTGGGGCTCCAGACACTGGACCATGAGTCGCCCCAGAAAAACCCTTTTTCTCCAGCGAGTTTGCATCATTGCGGGTGGTGTAAAAGGAGTCTGGAACTGCTATGAGGCCCTAAAAATAAACACATGGTTAAGTGCTTGCATCATGGGACCCAATCCTGTCTGACGCCTTTGCAGCCATCCCGAAGCAGCAACATTTACATGTCGCAGCTTTGCCAATCACACTACATCTGCCACGGCCCATGTGCACTTCAATAATACCATGCATTTATGTGTATCACAAGATAAGGTCATTTGATTCGACTCAAGACTTGTGCTGTCCTACTCTATGACTCCAGAAATGCAATTAATAAATTCCAAGATTCGGCAAAGAGAGCGAGGGCACATGCTTATGGCAAATGAAAAAAAAAGCACACGCCCTACAATTTTGTGTAACCCCCCCTTAAGGAATAATCATCGAAGTTTTCACAAATTCACCACCCTAATCATATCCTGGGTCACCACTTGGTGCTGGCGTTGCAACATCCCAACCACCTGGTGTAGGTGCGGTAGTAGCACCGTATCTGCCACCAGAGCTATCTCCTGGTGTCGGCGCAGAGTAGTTGCCCGGCGTAGGAGCGTCCATTGGTGGGCCGCCCGGTGTAGGTGCAGAGTATGCACCATATCCGCCAGGTGTAGGAGCGGCATACGCACCTGGAGTAGGGGCGTTGTACGCTCCAGGCGTAGGAGCAGACAGACCTCCCGACTTCGAAGCGGCGTTGCCAGGTGATCCACCCCATGCGGGTGTTCGCCCTCCCGAACTGAAACCACCATATGATGTACGGTTGCCGTCGTTGCCACCATACGCCGTTCCTCCACCATACGATGTCGCACCGCCATATGCAGTTGCGCCACCGTATGCCGTTCGGGAGCCATCACCACCACCATAGGCAGTTCGGGAGCCATCACCTCCACCATAGGCTGTGCGTCCGCCATCTCCACCCCATCCAGGTGTTCGCCCACCAGCGCCTCCGCTACCTCCCCAGCCTGGTGTGCGGCCACCAGCTCCCCCGCTGCCACTACCACCCCAGCCAGGTGTACGGCCACCACCAGAGGTGCCCCATCCAGGAGTTCGCCCGCCAGATGCACCACCACCACCGCCGCCATAGCTTGACTGTCCACCCGAGTACCCGCCGCGCGAACGGTTGGGGAACTTGCCACCAATGTCCATGCTGGCACCAGTAATGGGATCTTTGACTGTGAGAAGTTCCTTCTTTACCGACACCTGCTTGTTCTTGGTATGCAATTCGATGCGCGCTTCGTCGTTCATGGTATCTTTGACAATTCCGAGAAGACCCTTGTAAGCGCCCTTACGAATCGTCACAGTCTTTCCAATCAGCTTGTCACGGCCGAAGGAAGCTCGTGGTGGTGGCATGGCATTCGCGTTCCCGTTTGCGCCTGCATTAAGGGCAGGATTGATACCGCTGAGATCAGGACCTTGCGCTTGAGCACGACCGCTCTTTGCCGCCATGGTGACAACGTTGTTGCTGCGGACCACAAAGATACCCTGGTTCTCGACAAGCTCACGGTTTCGGACAAAGAGTGTACCCCTGTGAATGTATAGAACCTTTCCTTGTCGTCCTTCTCCGCCATGCTCCTTGACGTCGTCCTCATGTCTAATTTCAGATCCGTCGCGATCCGTCGCTACTGCGTGTTTGTTTCGGCCGACAATCTGTGAGACTTGGGTGTGGAGGAGTGTGCGAACATCGCCTTGTTGATCGACGATTCGCAGAACTTCGCGGTCGACGCGAACAACGCAACCAATGGTGGAGGCACTATCGTATATTAGCTGGATATCCTGCCAATCTCAGGTCACAACTTACTCAATCTGTACAAAGTCGTAGAGGTCAAAGTTAGAGTCGGCGCCAACGTTTGCCGAGTCCGCAGCACGCTTCAGGTCCTTGCTAAAGACGGTGATTTCCTGCTGCGTCGAGTCGCAAAGCAGCGTGATCTTGTCGTCCTTGATTCTTGTGACGAGACCGACCTCATCGACATATTTGCTTCCACCAATGACCTTGACGTGGTCACCATCGCGGAACAGCTTTCGCAGTGTCTTGACAGGAGCATCAATCCTTCTGCCCCTCAGCTCGCCCTCGCTCACTCGCAGCGTGACAATGTCGCCTGTTACAGTAACAGTCGTACCGCGAATGCCCTTTTGTTCACCAGTGTAGATCTCGACATTATCGCCGGCGGCAAAAGCAGATCCGGAGTCGGCAGCCTTTTGCGCAGCCTGGACAGCCAGGAGATCCATGGTCTCTGTGCCATCAGCGTTCTGAACCGAGAAGAACTGCAGTTCCTCCATCTTGGGGTTAACTTTCTCGGTGCTGACCCAGTTGACCTTGACTTCCTTAATGAGGAAACCATTCTGGTAGTCTTCGCCTTTGTATGTGTATGCCCTTTGGTTGCCTGATCCAGTCATGCTGAGATGCTTCATGTGTCGCTTCTTCGCCTCGGCTTCATTGAACAGTTTCGCAGGCGGGCGCTCGGTTTGTCGTCCGAAGAAACCTCGCTTGCGCTTGTTGTCTCCAGCAGCATTTGCGTCGTCGTTGAGGCCATAATCGAGACGTGGGACGAGTTGTACGACACAGTCGAGGCCGTTGGTCGAGACTTCGACGACCTTTGCAAGATCGCCCTTGTATGTGGGTGGCCGTAGCATGCGCACGAACTTCCCGACTTCCAATGGCGCACGCTTCTTCTTTCGGAGAAGATCAGGACGCTCCTTCGGGGGGATCGAGAACTGGCCAGAGCCCATGAAGACATTCTGGATACCCTCAATAAGCTCTACCACAGCCTGCTTCGAGTCGGCTTCAACGTAGAGGAATCCAGACTGTGGACCTGTAGGACCCCGTTCGAAGGCCGAGTAGACCTGCACAGGCTGGCCGGTGCGAATCTTGTCGTCAAGGCGCTTTTGGATCGCCATGATGATCTCACGTTCCTTTCCAGGACGGCACTTGCAACCCCAAATGGACGGATCGTCAACTGTAGGCAGCGCCAAAGGTACAGCGCCTGCACCACCACGACGGGCGCTCTGCATTTCCCTTCGCCTGTACTTTTCGTCGAACTCCTTTGCGATTTCTTCAACGTCCCTTTGAGCGTTGACCTCACGGCGCATGTCGAGCTCGCGGTGGTGGCGGTCGTCGAGGTCGGCGCCCGTGGGCTCGAGGAGGTCATCGGGATGCACTTCATCGACACCTTCGTCGTCGCCCTCTTCCTCTTCCTCTTCGTCCTCGTCGACTTCGGCTTCGACATCAATGAACATGTTGCGCTTCGCCTTCTTTCTCCGTTTAGCAGGTCGGGCCTGGGAAAGATTAGCTGTTAGAACTTCGGGGGTATTGCTTCGTAAGACGTACGACAACATCTTCGTCGTCCTCGTCTTCTTCGTCCTCATCGTCATCCTCGTCGTCGTCATCATCATCGTCGACGTCTATGCCACCACCCTCTTCATCTTCGTCGTCGTTGCCTGTCATGTTGATCCCATCGCCTTCATCATCGTCATCTTCAGCGGCGGGTCTGCGCGAGGCGTTACCGCGCGGAGCGACGTCATCCTCGTCAATTTCGGGCGCGGGGTTGAAGTCCTCTTCCTCGTCCTCTGGGTCGCTTCCGTAGGACGCCATGGTGGTGGGAAAATGTGAAGTGATGGATGAGCGTCTGTACGGGGGTTGTCGCAAAGCTCAGCAATGCAGCCGCGGTGATTAGGCAGACGTAGAGGCGGTGCCGCTGGCTGATTAAGCTGTGGTGTCAGCGCACTATGGGCGAAGTAGAGGAGAAGAGAAGGAAAAAAGAGAGAAGACGGCGAGCGTCGATGGCAATGGGCTTTGTTTGAGACTTGGAAACTCGGAGGAGGTGCGCCCAGAGAAACCGCGCTATGCTGGCGCGCCGCAAGGGGCCGTGCGCACAGCCTTCAGCTCCATCCCCAACGCGTTTGCTTGGCGCTTTTGATACGCCCCAAGGGAGGGCAAAAGTGTGACCGCTATCCGCTCACTATGCCAGTCAAATACGACTCTTGAAACACCCCACTGGAATGGTATGAGAGATGGTTACAACCTCGCCTTGTCATCGTGCTCACATACTCTCACCACTGCTCTCCCCCAAGCCCTGTGTGCCCTCACATCCTCCAGCGCCCTACCAACTGCTTCCAAACCATGATAGTTCTCTTTGTAAACTACCGGTTTTATACTTCCTGCATCAACTAAGCGCACGAAGCCATCCCATACATCCTTTGTCCTCTGTGGATCCCGTCGCCCGTCTTCGCCAAATCGCTATACATTGTGAGCAAATGTAACAAACCAAGGGATGTATAAATAGGCGAATGACTTACATAGCCATACACCGCTATTGACTTGAGAAGGATGCGATTTGCACGGATGTTCTCAATGTTTCCGTTCCTTGCTGCAAACCCCACAATCACCAGACGGCCGCGGTACTTCAGACATTTGACTCCACTCTCCACAGCGCCAATGCCATCGTACACTACATCTACGCCCTCTCCGTCTTTTGTTAGTTGCTTGACACGGTCTTCCCACTTCTCATCGTGGTAGTCAACAACAGCATCCGCACCAATACTTCTGGCCATGGCAGCTTTCTCTTCGTCACCAACCACAGCAATAACCTTTGCGCCAATAGCTTTTGCAATCTGTACCGCCATGACCCCGAGACCCCCACTCGCACCCAACACGAGTACAGTCTCCCCAGCTTTGACTTTGCAAACGTCAAGCAATGCGCCGTAGCTTACTGCTCCGCTACTACCCACCGCACATGCCTCGGCATTCGTCCATTGCTCCGGTACACGGCGTATCGCTCCTTCAGAGGCCCAGATTTCTTCAGCATAAGCACCTAGCCCGCCTCCAAATACGCGGGCACCAGGCTTGAAAGATGATTCTGAAGGACTGGATATGACAATACCCGAGAATTCGGTGCCCAGCACAAATGGAGGCTTAACATGACGTCGGTTATTCTGATGTAGACCTTGGGCATAAAGAAGATCGACATGCGTTACCGCTGAATGCGTGGTCTTTATGTGGATTTTCTCTGAGTGTTTACGTTCTGGACTGGGAATGGAGCAAGGCCTGAGGCCTGCAATGTTCTACACACCATATGTTAGACCGAAAGCATGTCGTATTTCCATCAGCAACTAACTGTAACAAACTTTTCAACATGAATGGCCTTCATCATAGGTGAAACCCTGATGCCAAAGAAGCTCTACTTGGACCTATGTTAGTTGACAACTCTTTATTACGGAAGAATACACTACGTGCACAATGTGACTGCCAGATATGTCGCGGGAGATCGACGCGAGTGGGGTGCGCGAAGTTGCCGAGGTTTGTTTACTCGCAGCAACAACTTGGTGAGCATACAATCAACCTATTACTAACATACACATATTAGCGAGGCAAATAGATGCTCGAGATGGTGAATTGATTGAACTGTTCCTCGACCCATCATGTTGGGAATTTCTCCAAAACAACTACAGAAGCTACAAAAATGCGACAGCAGGCCAGTCCTACCACCTCTACGCCACGCCAGCTATTGCGCATTGTTCAGTGTAAGCATACATATGTATGGATGTAGGCACTCAGCCTCAATACTACACAAGGATACGAGGTTGTAACCCGCGGAGGCGAATGTTTGCGCTCACCTCCATGTCTTCCATTCATCACCCGGAAAAGGCAACGTCAACTAATGATGACATTATCTGTTCAGGGGCGAGGAATATTTGATTAGTATTCAAGTTTTGGTTATTCCTGCCCAAGGTTCTAGAACTATAATCTTTCTCATCAAGGGGCTGGCCTTTTCCACGGCATCTCCTATTCCCATGTCGATCAACAGTCCGCGTCTACGGAGATATTTTCAACATCATTCAAAAGCCACCAGCGTTACTGATCAACATCTATTTACTTCCAACAAACCATTAGGCATGCCGCCAAGACCGGCAGGTAATTTCATAGATGTAGAAAAACGTTCGTTACGAACGTTCACTGATCGGTATTTGCCGGATATCTAAGGGGCGATGACGTTTAGCGGGAGGATATTTGCTTTGGACGGCAAGCTAGACACATTCTGCCAGGGCATTCCAGATTTCAGGCTCCGGTAACTGATCGGCATTCGACTGACGAATAGAAAGGCTATGATCAACAGAAGCAGACAACAATTGGTCCTCATATCGTAGTCGTTGCTGCTATTTTGATGTTGTACCCAACCCCGGCCACTACCACAACCACACATCCTAGTACGATCAACGACAATTCCAAATCGAAATACTAATACAGTACCGAATGAGCATCACATGTAAACCTAATGGCGTATGGTTGCGATTTGCTCAGTGTAGACGTATGGGACAATGGCCCTGTTTCTCTCGCAGTCAGGACGTTCGGCATTGATGCACGTTGCAGGAGAACAGTGTACCTGCATACGATAATTGTCGCCACAAGAAGGGTCCATCTCATTTGAGATGGAGTTGGCACTCTACTGGTAGCGGCTTAGTTCTACGGCCCCGATCAAGCCGATGGTACCACGGACCTCCCATGTCGGATTCAGGAACGCCAGCCTTGCGATCGAGTTTTCATTTTACTTTGCGATATCATTAAATGGGATACTACTTTACCACTACATGAGGTAAGATCTAGGTGAGCATGTAGAATGCTTCTCGGGGTAGTCTAGTAGGAGCATACAGCTCATCATCGGCCGCATGGCATGGACCCGGATCGACAATCCTCCCGGGACTAGAGTACTGCATAGTAAATGAGCATTGGGATGGGCGAATGTAGCGCCCAATGATCTTGTCGATCAACGGCGGGACAGTGCAGCTAGTTGAAAGCCATTGTTTCCAGTATGAATGATGTAGCCATACCCACGCATTAAAAGGAGGACTAAAAGCAGTATTTGAAAAACCTCGAGGCTAAGGACTACTTGTACCTCGTGTATTCCAAGGGTTTTTGGAGCATCTACTCTACAGTCAACAAATAGTAATCTCTAATCGTCGCAGAGATGATTTCTATCAAGATGATGCTGCTTCTCACCTTTGTTGGCCTTGCGACAGCCCGGAACTGCACCAACATCATCATCGAGACTCCCATCGTCTCCCGACAAGGCAAGTTTCGAGAGGTTCCGCTTGAGAGCAACGTGGAAGTGGGCGAATTTGCAACTCGACTCGCCAAGTTCCAGAGCAACTACAGTGTAGAGTTGCTTGAGGGATATCAGACTTTGGAAAAGACCTTCAATATATCCGCTCAGTACTGCGAGCCCGATAGCGGAAGCAGTGATACGATTCAGTTATTGACTCATGGTGTTGGGTTCGACAAGACATACTGGGACTTGGAGTATGGCAGCTACAACTACAGCTATGTCAACATGGCTCTAGACGCAGGATACAGCACACTTGCCATTGACCGTCTCGGCATCGGAAATTCGTCTCATGGAGACCCCTTCAACGAGTAAGCAACATCCAGCAGCAGTGCATGTACAATCAACGAACTAACCTGCGTCCACCCCCCCCCAGAATCCAAGCCCAAGCCGAACTCGAAGCCCTTAACTCCCTCACACTCCAACTCCGCAACGGCACAATCTGCGCCATCGGCCGCCCCTTCCAAAAAGTCATCCATGTCGGCCACTCCTTCGGCTCCATCCTCTCATACTGGCTCTCCTCCAAATACCCCTCAAACACCGACGGCCTCATCCTCACCGGCTTTTCCGTCTCCTCCCAATTTCTCCCTTACATAATCGCTGGTTGGAACCTGCACAGCGCACGCCTCAACCAACCCTTCCGCTTCGGCAACGCTTCAAACACTGGTATTCGGAAACTCGCGACGCAGTACTCGCTAGCCTCCAACCTCGCCTCCGGTTTCCAGAAGATACTCAAACTGGTTGGTGTAAATCTCGCGGACAACGCCGTACGGAACATACTCTCGACAACCGAATTCTCCAACTTTCTAACCGGGTACAATGAGGCAGCAGTGCAATCGCTCAACTACCCTTCGGGCTACATGACACACTCCAGCCTCACCGCCCTCCAATACGGCTTCCTGCACCCATCCAACTACGACATCAACCTCGCACTACACGGCGAAGCAACTAAACAAGCCGTGACAGCCGGCGAGCTACTCACAATCGGTAGCGCACCCGCCTCCTCTTCATTTACAGGCCCGGTATTAGTTATCACAGGGGAAATGGACGTGCCGTTTTGCGGCGGCAATTGCTATGGCAAGATTCCAGGAATGGAGTTTGAGAATATGGTACAAGCGGTTGATCTGGTGTTTCCGGGGAAAGAAGAGGGGGTTACGGTGTGTGTGCAGCCCGAGACGGGGCATGGGCTTAATTTTCATTACAATGCTACGGGTGGGTATGGAGTTATGCTGGATTTTTTGGCGAGTAATGGGTTGGCTGCGTGAAGGGGGGAGGGGAGGAGTTGCTCTTTACAGTTCTTGTTTCTTTTCGGTATGCTCGATTTTGAATTGTTTTTTCTTTTCTTTTTTTAACTTTCGATGAGAGAGCGGTTGATCACGCTCGATTGTATATTATTCAGTATTCGAAAATGAACTTAGATTTTGTTTCTTCATTCAAAGTTCTGGGTTGTGCGGAAAAAGGTGATCTTGCGGTGAGGTTTGGCTGGGTAGTAGTACGTAACTATAGTACTAGTTGCTTACTCATATCCCTCGCGACTCATTGTCCCGCGAAATTCAATGCCACCTTCCGCTTTTTTGCTTTTGATAATTTGCTTGGCTAAGTCCCATCTGTGTAGGACTGGAAGCCTGAAATGGAGCCGGAAGGAGGGGATGCGGAATTAGGGTACATGGTGCTCCTGGTTGCTGGCTGCGGTTAATGGAAGTTGCAGTGGTTGTAGTAATTGATAACCGTATCTTACTCACTGAAAAGAGTGCTGACAACTCGGTAGTATACATCAGACAAGTAGCAGTAGTAAATACCATGTGGCATCGTAAATCCCATCTCTTCTTACAACCGCAAAGTCCTCTGCAGCATCCCCCTACACCCCCTCGCCCCCTTCACTACCTCACACCCCGCACACCCACGCTCCCCTACTATCAATACCCCAATCCAGCACAAGCGCCCATGACGTATCCCCACCCATACAACCACCCGTCCCTAATCTCCATCATAATTCCGAAATCCTAATTTCCAATCCCTGACAAAAGACCAGAAGAAAATCCCTCCGCGCAATCTTTTGCATGCCAAACATGCATACATACACCCGCACCCAATCACGCGCGAGGCCACAAGTGACAAAACGCTGATGAATAACCACAGCGCTGCTTACAACGCTGCAGAAAAAGTGGGGTCTGCCTAAGCGAATGCTCGCGAAGCTCCGCTATCCGGGACTAAGAGAACATGGAATCTTTGCAGATAGTATTGAAATGTTAGCATTACACAACGCCTGTGCTTGATTAGCAAAGAGTTACTCAGATCCGTGCACCACGTGGCGAGTATCCGTCTCCGTTGTCGTGGTCGTGATTGTCGGAGATATCGGTGCTGGAAGGGACGACGGGTGGGGTGCATTTTTTTTCGCGTGCCTTGTTAGATGTGACTATGCTGGGCATAGAGCGAAGGGGCTTAAGCCAATAGGGAGAAGAGCTAGGGTGGCCAAGGTGGTTTGTCATGGCTTGAATATGCGATGTTGTATGCAGAGAGGGCGATGTGCTATGGCTTGGCGATGCGGATGTTTCCATTGTGGTTGCGATTGCGAGTGGGCTAGTGGAAGGAAGATGGATGTGCAGTGGGCGGGGCGATTAGGGGAGGATGCAAGATGGAAGGAGGGAGATGGGAGATACAGGGGGATTGGGAAAAAGTATAAAGATGGGGGTTGTGGTGCTGGAAAGTAACCACCATCCACAGCTTCGAGATTGAGGATAGCAGCACTGCAGAGCAAACACTTGACTACCGTTCAACTACCTTTCAAGATGAAGTTCTTCACCAACTTGGCTCTTGCGGCTTTGACGCTCGCCCAGACTGTTGTTAGCGATGGTATGGAGACCTGGGAGTAACGATGGATATCCGTTCAAGTCACTGACAAAAACCCAGCTGTTCCATGGGAGCGTATCGACAAGAACAACTCTGTACGTCCCTTCTTCCCTTATACTCCCAGGATATCCTCACTGACTTCCTGTAGCTCCTCCTCATTCTCGACCTGCAGGTCGGTCTGTACGGCGTCGCCCGCGACTGGGATGCCACTCTGTACAAGCAAAACATCCTCGCCCACGCCGAGATCGGCAAGCTCTTCAACCTGCCCGTCATCATGAGCACGTCCGCGGATACTGGTCCCAACGGTCCCCTGCCCAAGGAGATGCTTGAGATGCATCCCAATGCACCTCTTATCCGCCGCCAGGGTGAGGTCAAGTAAGTTTACCTGGAAAGCGTTAAAGAGAAAGACAAAGTCGTCTAACATATGCCACTCAGCGCCTGGGACAACCCGGAATTCCAAGCCGCCATCAAGGCCACGGGCAAGAAGCAAATCATCGTTGCCGGCATCACCACCGACGTGTGCACTGCATTCCTTGCGCTCTCCCTGCGCGCCGAGGGCTACTCCGTCTTTGCCAATATCGAGGCCTCGGGTACCTACTCTGAGCTCGTTCGCGACACTGCCAACTCGCGCATGGAGAAGGCGGGCGTGCAGCTTGTGTCCATGTTTGCCATTGTCTGCGACCTGATGCGTGATTGGCGTGCTACTCCTGGTGCCAAGGAGGTTCTGCCTTTCTTGGACAGGTACCTCCCTGTCTACGGTATGCTGGCTAGGCACCACGCTGCGGCTGTTGAGAACGGCACTATTCAGCCTGGTGAGTTGGACACGATTACTGGATCCAACGGTACTATTCTTCTCTAAGTGGATCGTGTAAGGAGGAAAGTTGAGGATGCGAGTGTGTGGTGATGGATGGTTTTGGAGGGTTTGAAATGAGGGGGTAGAGATGGAAGGAGACGGGTAGAAAGTAATGGATGATAAAAAAAGGGATATTGCATTCAAGTATAATAGATAAAAATCTGACTGTTGTTTCTTACCTGGTCGACTTTGTATAATCAAGTCTTTGGTTTATTCTTACCCAGAAGCATGGACTAATGCTAGTTGCAGCTACCAGAGTACCTGTGTAGTTGACCACAATATGCTAGTATTGTCGCACCCCGCTATCTTTCCGTCTCTTCTTCCACAGGGTCGTACTGTGAACAGATACTTTGAGTCCGAATGAATCATTTCCAAGACAAATGCACGAACTCGAGATTACGTCCAGACAAGATACCGATGGTGCCACCAACTTCGGATAAATGAAGGCAGCCGCCTTTGGAAACTTTGTCATTGATGTGGGACGCAGAAAATATCGATTTCCAAATGAAAGGCAGAATTAAGGCTTGCTGCATCGCCAAGACGATAGATTGAACAGGGAGGAGGCCCCGGCGGCAGGATAAGAGAGCAGATTGACAGTACCTTGGCGGAAGGAGCGACTTGGCAGACTTGCTTGCAACGACTCGCTATGTACCTTTGCGAGGTGGATATTATACTTTTGCGATCCACGCGCTGAACCAAACATCAAGACGACGTCTGTTTCGAGAACAAGCGCGCCAAGCTCTGGGCACAAGTGAAGGCTGGCAAGGTCAGCGTGGACAGCGCAAGCAGGATTCTTGACTATTAATGAGATTTCCAGGACAAAATGGTGCCACTTTGTGACGAATGCATACAGAGCTGAAACCGTACATGGTTCACGGGCCGTGCTACATACATCAAGCTTTGCATGGCAGAGTCTTAGCATAGGAGATCTTGTTTCGGTATGGGAAAAGGTGAATTGTCATAGGTCGCAGCGTTTCGGCATCCGGGCAAGAAGGAAGAGTATGACAAAAAAAAAAGTAAGGTACGAACACGGGTTTGCAGGAGGATGGATGGCAATGACTCGGGGACGGTTTGGTACCCCGTTCTTTTTGCCCCATCATGCGATGGTGAGGATATACGCGCACAGCGAGGCGAGGAGTGGAGACATACGCCCCGCGTGGTTATAATCTTCTGTTGACATGCGCAAAAAGGGTAGGTGACCGGGGGTTTTCTTCTTTCTTGTGTACAGTTATGAGAAGGCTAGAAGAGCTCCACGAAGGTCCAGAACCTCTGAGTAGCACAACACGTGTGTGCAGGCAAAGTATTAATAGGCCTGGCTGAGTCGCTGGGCTAGGTCTGTATACGGTAAGCACGGGCCGGACCTGCGTCGAGGGCGCACCCGGTCTAGCCTCTGGGTGATGAAGGAAGGGCAGAGATGGGTTGCAAAAGGCAGAAAAGCAATCACAGGCGTGTGCTAAGTCGGAAAAGGGTATCGCCTGCGTGTCTGTGTGAGCGAGAAACGTTTCGCCATCCGTGGAGGGAAGCGAGAAAATCCCCCTGGAACACACGGTGCCATATCGCGACGGAGGGGCCTGCCGCCTGTCCGCACACGCCTAGGGAACTCTGTTGAGGCCGACGAGGAAGGGCGAGCGAGATACTAGGAGGTGGACGAGAGAGCGAGAGAGATGGAGAGGACTGGAGAGGGCTGACAAAGTTGGCATGGCGCGCGAGGTACAGTAAAGTAACGTGCGGGCTGCGTATAGCCTAGCGCGGCGGTGGTATTTTGGTGGCCAGTGGCCAGCCAGGCCTGCAGTGCATATTCCACCGCCCATCTCAGTAATCTCAGCCGGCTGGGCTTCACTGTCGCCAGTCTGAAATCGTCCAAGCCTTGTTATAAAAAACCGCACCAAGCATCCCATACGAGACCTAGCCCGGCTGGTCGGTGACTCCGATGCTCTGGCGCTGACTGCCTGTCTCTCGAAACGGTATCGTCTTGTGGTGTGGGCGTAGCTGATACACAACGCGGCCGGCTCGCCATTTCACTCCATCCCATGGCGCTATGGGGTGAGAGTGAGTGACATGTGGAGAATAAGAGAGAAAGGCAAGAATCCCATATATCCCTGGCTTGCTGGCCCACCTGTCGCATGTCTCTCTGTCTTGCTCTCTCTCGCCTTCTTCGTCTCTGCCTCGACACTTTGTCATCACACTAACCTTCCATTCGTCCTATTCATCTCATCTCATCTTCCCCGCATACGACTAGGTGCTTATACACGCATACGCCCGTTGGCAATTTCACTTGCCAAGTCCGCCACGTCCTTTTTCTTTTTGGTCCCCTTCCTGTAGCTGCGCATATCCAGCCTTATCTGGGGATCCTCGTACAGGCGGGGCTTCCGTCTGGATCCGCAGCGACGCAACACTCTCTCCACAGTCTAGGCCTGCCTGCGCGTCGTACTCGCGTATATCTTATCGTACAAGTGCACAGCGTAAGTCTCGACGATCAACTAGCTGGTTTTTTTTTAATTTCTCCATCCATATGTAACTAACCCTTTCGCCCCAGTAAACCAAACATCTGCGTCTATTTCCTCCGAATTCCCTACTAGTTGGAATTCACCACAACCACCATCATGCTCTCCAACACCCTCCTCACAACCCTTCTCCTGTTCTCAGCGCAAACAACAACCATTCTCGCCCTTCCAACAAAAACCCACTGCCAATGTAAAATCGTGCCAAACATCCCATCATCAACCTCAACCACCTCCTCACCATACGCCATCGACTCGCCCTCAGCAGCCCATTGGGCCCCTGCCTCTCCCTCCGAAGACGAGTCCGCCTCACCTTCCCCCAGTCCCTTGGCCAGTAGCACAATCTGCACAACCCTCGCCTCGCAACTCTCGCAATTTCAACACACAAACCCAGACCTCTACGCCTTGTACCTCCAACGCGCCCCCACACGCTCCATTGATGATTCAGTCGCCGAAAACCCAATCCCCACTTCAGTCCTCCTAAGCGCAACCTCTTCCTCCGATGCCTCCTCCGATGCCTCCTCCGATGCCTCCGATGCAAGCGGCAATGGGTTGAAAATCGTATGCTACGAAGATGAAACCGCAGCAGATGCCTCGACTCCCCTACGCGACATCCAATCCTCACCCTTGACACTACTCGTCCTCCAACTCATCGTCGTCCTCTCCATCGTCGCGTGCATCGCTGAAGGCCTGCACATGCTCAAGAACCTGTACGTTCCTCTTTGTCTCCTCCTATTTAAAAAAAACACTCCCCCCAAAACAACAATGTTTTCTAACAATAGAAAAATAGTATCTCTCCACCCCCCAAACCAGAACATAGCCTCCGTCTCGTAGGCGCGGAAAAACGCCTTCTCGCTATCCCATCTACCCCTTATCACAACGCTGCAGACGCAATGGCGAGTCCTGGTGCCGAAAAGAAACTCCGCGCGTACTATGAGGCGCCCCGCTATTTCGTTGCCCAAGGGGGGAATGGACGGAGAGAGTTTATCGCGTATGATGATGATAGTGATGATGAGATTAATCGCCCTGTTTTATAGATGCGATCGTTTTTTTCTCTTTTGTATGCAAATAAAGCCGTGATTTGGCGATTCTCTATATAGTAATGAAGTAATGAACATTTATTTTCGTGTATGTGGTTGGTGGGGAAGGGGGGGGCTTCAAGAGAGTGATTGTGGTGATATTTTTCGTATTTTTCCATTATATATATGTGTAATGTTGTTGTACTGCGTACTTACCTACACCACAGTGCGGGAAAAAAAAAGGTATGGAGCTAGACTTGTCATGAGACTAGCGTACATCTTCCCTTTTGAGGGAGAAAAAGAGAAAGGACGTTGAAGAAGGGAAAAAAAGGGGAAGAAGGGGCGGGGTTATCGAAGAAAGAAACAACAACGCCCTCTACTCTATCGAAAAAGGGAAGGAAAAGTCTATCTACACAACCCTCCATCGTACAATGTCTATCCCACCATGTTGCCGAACCCAAGTTCTATCATTCTAAAAGGCCATATAGAATACAGTATCAAACCAAGGCAGCAAACCCGATGTGCGAAAATCTCAAAAAAAAAAGTTCAAAGGGGGAAGGCAGAGGAGGAGAGGAACGTTGCATCAATCCTTCCCCTCTCTCGCACCATGCATATAGAAAAGCGTTAGAGAATATACCTTACCAACTTACCATCTCCATCCACATCCACCCTCTCCAAACCTACACATGAGAAGAAGAAAAAAAAACGGTGCTAAGAACGGAACTCTATAAAAACAAGGCGAAAAAAAAGAAAGAGAAAAAAAATACAAACCCCACACTCCATCGCACAGCGTTATTCACGCCATCTCAACTAGCAATCATTACGCCGGTTTTCTCAACCCTCGCCTCATCCGCACCTTCATCATCGCTCGGAATACTTTAGCAAAGAAAAAAAAAGAAAAAAAAGGAAACGCATCCAGGGAACGGGATGGGAAGGGGAAAATATGTAAAAAAAATGTCGCTTAGCGGCATTGTCGCTTTGGGCATTTCTTTCCATTGTAAGTCTTTTTTATGTCTCTTGTAGACGGAGCCGGGGTGGGGTGGAGCGGAAACGGGGGGTGGTTGGCGCGCTGGAAGTTCAAGAGTAGGCCATTTGGGTGTGCAAAAAAGGTCCAGATAGGTATGGGTGGCTTGGGCGGAGGGGGCGTTGGCGCAGTGGTAGGTCCAGAAGGGGGGGGGAAGATGGGTAGTCCCAATTACAAAGGTTTCCTAGTAGTACGTCATTGCTTTCTCGCAGTGGGGGCTCTGCATTTCGCAGCGCGCAATGGGGAGGAGTAGAAAAAGCTAGAGGTTAAGGGGGGTGGTTAAGGCAGGTAAGGAGGGTGTATACTTTGGATATGGTTTGTCGCGATCGGATAGTATGGTCGAACTTGGAAGCTGTCGCTTTCTCTTTGGCTTCTTTGGGGGTAGGCGCAATGGTCCTGGTATGGGATGGAGGGTTGGGAGTGGGGGAGCTTTCGCCAGCATTAGGTATTATTTTCGCAGTAGGCAATTTTTCGGTCTTGGGGATTGGTTTGTATGTCGCAAGTGGTTTTTTGGTCGCGCGGGGCGTACTGGAGGGTTGGGGGGTATCGTAAGGAAGTCGTGATGAAGAATGGCTTTTGTTGAAGCAGTGGGTGTCCACATTTGAGTCTTCACATCACCGGGATGCTGAACCGACAAGGGGTATAGGTGGAAGCCGTACATTAAGAAGAAGTACTTTCGTATCGAAAATTGTTGTCGTAAGAGGTGAATGATCAGATGATCATTCGTAGGAAGGACAGGTGGCGTGTAGGAGATCTAAAGCAGGAGCAAACTGTCGAGCGCCGTCGATGATGTAAACGCCGGATCCGGATAAATGCCAAGCAGTGTTGTAAAATATGTCGTACAATGAACCGAGTGCTGATGAAGTAAAGATTTTGGCAAGGGCTGGCAAGGCCAGAAAGGAAGAAGATGGCCGATGACAGGAGCGCATCACATGATGGTGTGATACCCTTTCTCGTTCATGACGTCGATCCAAAAGGCATCGCGGCCTTCATCACACTGACGCCACGTCTCCTTGAGAAGTTGAATCATTGTGCGAAGGGGCTTGTTAGGCAACCTCAGTGCAAACTCTTGCAGACGCCGAATGACAAACTCTCGTGCAGAGACAATCTCAGTGTCATTGGCATGGACATCAAAAAAGTCGACCGACGAGACGAATCGAAGCTCAGAAGCGGCAACGACGAGTATCAGCGGCTGAATGCAAAAGGTTCCAGATGAAGAAGGGATTGACTCTAGAGATCTGATAATGTGCATGGCAAGCGAGTTGAGCCACAACTTCATGTCGGTATCCTCAAACGGAGTCTCAAAGCGCGGCGTGGGAAACTGAAAGTCGACAGCCTCAGTGCCCTTGAACTTGTCAGACCCTAGACGCTTGCGCAGGATAGACGGGAAAACACGGTAAATCTCTAGAAGACCGGCGAGACGGTAGGCTTCAGCAATGGTGACAAAGTGCTCCTTGGGGGTACGTTCGTCGCCATAGTCAATCACTTCATCAACAGATGGGCAGTCGACAGCAAGGAGATCCTCTTCCAATGAGGCAGCATTTTGTAGGTTCTCTTGTCGTCGGCGAAGATCCATGGAAGACTCACGGTCCATTGAGCGTTCCTTGCGGACCAGACGACCGACCTCTGCAAACAAAAAGTGAATCATGGGCGCGATGCCTGTCCAGGGGTGTGGGACAACCTTGCCGTTGGGGCCTCGTGCAACTGGATCATTCTTCCTCGAGGTGACGCTAGGTCGCAGTCCGGACTTGGGAGAAAAGCTCATAGCATCTTCTGTCACAAAGCCCATGAGCATCTCCCAATGGATCAAAGACTCTTCAAAGAACTGTGCCTCTCGCTCCACCTCTGCGCCACGTGATCGGCTAAAGAGCTTGGGTAGAATAAGATCTCTTGCAGTGGAAAGGTACTCGAGTCCAAGTGCGCTGCTGTCGTGCCAGGAGGTGGTAAGACCGAGCAGCATGATACTCAAGAAAGTCTTGGTAGCGCTGGTCTGCCCGCTCTGAGCAAGAGGAAGCTCAGCCTCTAGTGCCTCACGCGCCTTGCGCTGGAGCTCAACCCCTGTTGCTGCCATGTTGGGAAAAGTGTTAGCCAAATGTGCCGCTGCCATGGATTGGATTGCGTAGTTGATGGATGGAGAGTCCTTGTAGATGCGGCCAATGGTAGTTCGGAAAGGATTTAGAGGAGAATCGAAGGAAGAAAATATAGCACAGACGTCCTTGAAGTAGTGTTGGACAAGAAGAGACTCGACATCGTCAGACGATGTCGGGCTGGGAGAAGGACTTGGAAGACGGTACAAATCAAGAAGCAGTGAACGTGAGAGTCTAGGGCTAGACTCTCGGTTTGCGTCGCGGTCCAACAAAGGCATCGAGGAAGACGGGATGACATCTAGTTTCTGTGATGGTGAGTCTTGTACACCAAAAGTAATGTCGTCTAGCGAGCCAGAATCAAAATCTATGTTCTCAAAAGGATCAAAGCTGAACTCTTCGTGAGGAAGATGAATGGCATCGACGAAGCCATCCAACATGACATCCTCGATTGGAAAGGGCTCGTACTCTCGAGGAGAGTCACCATCCTCGGTAGAGGACTCTTGGTTTGACGCAGGCTCCTCAAAGCTAGGTGGAGACGGAATTGCAGATGACGTTTGTGTTGTGGGGGCTTGTTGTGGGGTGGTTGTCGTTGTCGTCATCTTATTCTTGCTTACAGGGAGCACTGCAGCCAAGGCTTCGATGCCGCTGGCGACGTTCTGAGGGAGCGTCGACTTGACGGCAGGAGGAGTTGTGGCGTTGAGGCTGGAGGTAGGGCTTGACTTGGGAGGCGCTGCCCTCGAGTGGCTAGGAGGCGTAAAGACCTCGTACTTTGTCGACCATTTCAAAGTCTTCTCGTACCCAGGGCAGGGCACATTCCTCTTCTTGCATTGCAGACAGCCAGGAGCAGTCTCGTCGCATTTGAGCTATGCCTTTTGTCAGCACGTGTTCCTAATAAGGGATCGATGATGATGGGGGTGGTGAGACTTTACCCTCTTGAGCTTGCAGCGGCCACATCCATTCCTGGACTTTGTCTTCTTCGCCTTTAGATCTCTCGCCAATACCTTGTCTTGAGTCAAAGCGGGCATGTTGCAGATTCAGATTGACGTAGTAAAGAGGAGAGGTATGGGAAAGTCAAACGACAATGGGGTGAGATATCCGGTGCGAAAGAGATAGGACTTAAAATGCGGATCCATGGGTTGGGGGACGGCCACAGACTTCTAATGCGCGTGACGGGCCCATGACACACCCGGTCGTTCTTCTGCCTATCACTCGACTAGGGTCGGCTAAGATAGCTGCTGATAAAAATGTCGCGCTGGTGTGGTTGATGCAGGGCGTGTAAGCCTAGATTCCGAAATTCGGCTCTTCCTATGCATTCTGCATCGGCGTGAGCCTTATTGGCCAGGCGTATCCGCCACGACAGTTTTCTTTGCTGTACAAACTCCTCTATGGGAGGACGCCCGGTGGGCGGAAAAGTTGGACACGAAAGGTACTGCCTGTGCGCATCCTCTGCCGCTATCCTCGCCTACAAGCCAACGACGGACAACTTTGCGAGAAAAGCATCATGGGGCAAGCTGAGGCGCCATCGATAGGAAGATGGAGAGGCTACCCCACAGCCATCTCGAGGTGGGACGGAACGAGTGGATGGCATGACTGGTTGTGGATTAGGGCTAGGCATATTCGCTCCACTTGTTGCTTCACGATAGCCTTGTTCCAAGATAAAGCCACGTCTGCCCGCATGCCTCATGACGATGTCGGAACGCAACTCCAAGTCTGTGGGCCAGACTAATGCGTAGATATCAGTGTGTACAGCAGCGAGGTGCGTGTTGTGTCGGTACAGTTATCTTTGGAGATGAATTCGTTATCAAGAGCGGCGATAAGGACCATCACCACTCAGCAAGCGTCGTCATCTCCAAACGAGGCGGCTCTGCCAGCAACCTGCTTGGCTGGCCAATCCTGCACATGTGTTTGATCATGACATCTTTTCTTCCCTGTCCTCGACGAAGTGCGGTGCTATTTCCCCGGATCTTCTCGAAAAGTGTGCCGGCCA